TTGAAGTATGTCCTTCCAAAGCATGTGCTGTAAAGCCTAACCTCCATGACCTTGGTTATAATCCCATTTGGGAATGGGGTTTTGTCATGATGGTAATGAGACACCATTAGTACTGGGGTTTTTTGAGGCATAAAAGAGTTTACTCAAGACAGCAGAGGAGACATGGTGTAAAACAGATGCCAAGACAAATGGAAATCTTCAAAGGACCAGGGGGAGAATCTTAAGAGACCAAGACCTTCCTCCAGAGCCAACAAAGTGAGAGAGCCCTCACCTGGAACCAGACTCTGAATTTAGACTTCTAGCCCCCTAAACTGTAAGAACATACTGTATATACTCGAGTATAAGCCACCCCTAATATCAGTATGACTTGGATGAAGCACATCTTTGTCATCAAGTTGTATCCTTCCTTGCTCGTTAACACTTTACAGAGGTCTTCTACAGCACATTTGCTTGGTGTCTTGGCTGCTGCTTCCATGAGTATTGACTGTGGATCCAAGGAAAATAAAATCCTTAGAACTTTACTCTTTTTTCTGTTTGTTATGATGCTGTCTACTAATCCAGTTGTGAGAATTGCTGCTTGTTCTTTATATTGAATTGCAGTCCATACTGAAGGCTGCATACAGTCCTGGATCATCAGGATGTGCATCCAGTCTGCCTCACTTTCAGCAAGCAAAGTGGTGGAAGTGTCTACATGTGGAAAGCTATTAATGATCCTTCCAGCAGGTCTACTGCCCTGGTCTTTTGCATGTACTCCAGTTTATTGAATTCTTTGCTCAGCATACACGATGAATAAACATGCTGACGATCCTCACTAGCCAATACCTTTCCTGATTTTAAAGGACTCAGCATCCTTCGGTTCTGTTTGCATGACAGCCTTGGGGTCTGTGTACATATTCCTCATGAGTACAATTCATTGTTCGGGATTTTCCATTCTTTGACATTGTTTATGTATTTTTAAGATCTATAATTGAATGCCTTTGCATAGGCAATAAAACACAAATGCACAGCTTTCTGGTAGTAACTTTTGCTTTTTGCAGAGATCCATCGGACCTCAGCAATGATGGCCCTCTTCCAGGACCTCTTCTGAATTCGAGTTGAGCTCCCTGTCGATGGATAGCTACATTTTAAAATTATCTTCAGCAAACATTCACTGGCATATGACATTAATTGTATTGTTTGATCGTTTCTGCATCTCTTGAATGACCTTTCATTGCTATGGGTTCAAATATGAATCTCTTCTAGTCTGTTAGTGAGGTAGCTGTCTTCCAAAGTTGTTGACTGAGTGCTTCCAGTACTGCATCCATTTTGGGGAAACATTTTCATGGATATTCCACAAATTCCTGGAGCCTCGTTTTTCCACGAATGTTTTCGGTGAATCTTGGGCTTCTTTCTTCATCCCATACTAGCTCTTGAAATAGCATGAACTCGTTCTCTTTGGCACCCTCCCTCTGTGCATTTCTTCATCATCTTTTGATGCCTCTGGCATCGTTCAATATTTGCCCATAGAAACTGTCAATATTGCTACTGGAGATTGGAATTTTACTTCGGTTCTTGCAGATGGAGAAATGCTGAGCACGTTCTTCCTTTTTGGCTTTCTAAATCCAGGGTTTTGCAAATTTCATAAGAATGCTTTATTTTTTTTATAACACAGCATTTAGTCAATCTCACGATTGTCAGGTCTCAGTTATATTCTGAAATAGTTTTCTCAACTCTAGCTTACTATAAATGTCTCCTGGGGAACTTGTAAAATGTACCCATGCCAAAAACCAAAAGACCTGGGACTCTCACCAGAAACTCTGATTCAACCAATGTGAAGCGAGAGCAGGGCAGTGCTTTCCGAACACAAGCGTTTCCAGTAAGGTATTGAATACTCCAATGCGACTTCCCAGTTCCTTGTAGAGTGCCTAACATTTCAAATGCTAGCACGTGGCTGTATAACTTTTTTTCTATTGACCTGGAACAACAGAGGAAGAAGGAAAGACAAATAGGAAGAGGAAATAGATATCTGGCTAATTGCCTCCATAGACAACTAACTCCCTCTTTTGCCAGAAGACCAGGAATCTGAATGGTACCTAGCTACGATGATGGGACATTTTGATCAAATACTCTATAAAATAATCCTGCTAGAAAATGGGGTAAATGCAAAACACAATATAAATCTGATATAATCCAATCATGGAGAGTGGATGAATTCCCAAAACTATTACCCTCAAACAGTATTGAAACCTTACACCAAAAATACTGTCTAGACAGTAGTTCTCAACCTTCCTAATGCCGCAACCCTTTCATACAGTTCCTCATGTTGTGGTGACCCCCCAACCATAAAATTATTTTCATTGCTACTTCATAACTGTAATTTTGCTACAGTTATGAATCAATTGTAATGCAAATATGTGATATGCAGGATATTTTTCATTGTTACAAATTGAACATAATTAAAGTATAGTGATGAATCACAAAAACAATATGTAATTAGATATTGTGAAAGATTTATTTCTAATGGCAAATAAATGAAATTTTGTCTCGAAGTATGGTGTAACATGGGTAACAGTCTTCATGCCGGGTACTTCTATGTGGGCGTTTCTGCATGTGGGCAGACCCGTCTGGAGACGGACACAGGAGCGGTGTCTCAGTTCCTAAAACCATTGGAAATATGTGTTTTCCAGTGGTCTTAGGCGGCCCCTGTGAAAAGATCGTGCGACCCCAAGAGAGGTCGCGATCCACAGGTTGAGAACCGCTGGTCTAGAGTCTTCCAGAAGAGTGTCTTCTCTGAGCATGATGCTCTTTTAAGAAGTATTGATGCGGGACCAAATTGTCAACAACAACTTGACCTTGCTACTTAAAGAGGGACAACTTAGAAAAGGAGGGGGATAAGTATGTAATCACTGTCACTAAACTTTACAAGAAGATATTATTGGATTGGATTGGATTGGGCTTTGCTATGAATATACCCATGAACAACAACAACAAAATACAACAAAAATTTTAAAAACCTTTCCCTGAGGCAGATAGCCTTGAGAACCATTATCCTACAGCAGTAAGGTAAACACTGCCTGACACCTTGTGAGAGGGATGCGTGCTCCTCTCTTCTTTCAGTAACTTCCTAATCCACTGGACCACAGTCACCAGAGTTAGAATCCACTAGTCTTTGTTTAACACGTGCTCTAGCAGTTTCGGATGGACACTAACAATTGAGACACATTTCTCTGAGGCACGGGATGAATGAGGCATAACACTTACCACTAAGTGTTGCTCCTTGGTCTCAAAGGATTCCCAGTTGTTCTAAATTTGCATTTTAATTACCTAGCATAGTTCTACAATCTATAACTTTAGTTGATAATGACAGTATTATTACTACTTAAAAAGTGTAATGAGCTTGCATTTTTTCATGGGCACCCATTAAGTGAAATGTTTATGAAAAGTAGTGGTCGATGAAGAATATCCATTAATAAAAATACCTTCTGAACTTTTATAGATTAGGCTGCATTGTCATAGTGTTTTGTAAACTAGCGTGAGAGAGCATAAGAAAAAGATTACATTTTACAATAAAAGCATTTTAAAAGGCAAATCGTTTTACAAAAAGATTTTAAAGGATCTTTGTATTCCATTTCCACTGCAGTCCTATTCTTATTATTTTCCATATTTATTAATCTATCTCTCTTTAAATTTTATTCCTGTGTGATTGGACATATAATAAGCTGCATATTGAAAGCATTTGATTTTATAAGTTCTGACACACCCATAAACCAGTTGCGGCTGAAGCACTTGGCTGCTAACTGAAAGTCATGGTTAGATCCCACCAGGAGACCCACAGGCCTCTATCCCTCACAGGTCACAGAGTGGTAGCTCTATTATTCCATAGTAGGTTTGATATGACTTAGAATTGACTGTACAGCACACAGCAACAACATCTACCAGTATAATAAAATAGTTATAGAGGACATCCAATTCTCATAGAGATATACTTATGTTCAGCCAGTTATCCACTCTCCTGCCAAATGTGAATGACTTTGCAGAGAAGGATTCCTAAGTATGGTAACATGACCTGACACTTGAAAGGCCACTAGATACCAGCAGTCCAAGAGCACAGAAAAGGACGATATAGTGCAGGAGGGAAATCAAACACATCTCACCTGTCTGGAGTCCGGAATCTATTTTTCAACAGTTTGATTGACATATAATTCACATACCACACAATTTAATAGTTCAGTCCCATCAATCAAAGAGTTGTACAATCAATTTGTTAAAATTTTTTTTAATTTTTGAAAATTTTGTACAATCAATTTTCAATCAAAAATTGAAGTTGTACAATCAATATTTTCTTCATTCTTGTACTCATTGTTATTGGCTCCCCATTTCCCCCCAACCCCCCCTGCCATAACCCCAAGGAATAACCAATCCAGTCACTGTCTCTATAGATTTAGCTATTGTGAATTACATGTAAAGATAAACAAGAAAAACAAACAACAACCCAAGAAACTAACAAGATTAACCAAGTAAAACAGATAACAGGCTCAATCCAAAAGAAAGCAGAACAGATTGAAAAGTAGGACACATTTAAATGGAGTAGAAGGGAGATCACTGATAGGGTGGTTTTACCATATCTAATCAAGCCCTTTGTTTCTTAAAATTTCACTTACCAAACAACTTTAATTACTAGCAAAATGTCCAGTCCAGAAACTGAGTGCAGCAATCTCTGTTTCCCCCTCTGCAGTTAATTCCTTGCATTTGGGGTCAACAGCTTAACTTTGCACACCAGGCCGTGCTCCGAGTGCATTTCTCTGCTGTGCGTTTTACAGAAAGCAAACTGGTTAAAAGGGGGTGTTTTTGCTTTTATAGAACGGTGCGATTGAATGTCTTGCTTTTGGTTCCCATTTAACTCCTCTCTTTCCCCCACCCCAAACAAATGATCACATCCCTAAATGATTATCATTACCTCCTTGTGCTAATAGTACAACCTGCCATTTTGTCTTAAATGTCCGTCCTCTCGTTCATTGCAGGTTGGCTGCATGAGCTGGGGAAGCGCCTGGAGTCTCCCTACTCGGGGAACAACACGTCGGGGGGCCCGTCCATCCGCAGTGCCTACATCGCCGCGCTGTATTTCACCCTCAGCAGCCTCACCAGTGTGGGCTTTGGCAATGTCTCCGCTAATACAGACGCAGAGAAGATCTTCTCCATCTGCACCATGCTGATTGGTGGTGAGAGTGTCTTCCTTTCTACCAGGGGAAGGACCAGGCTCTGCAAATCTGTCGCTGTTCTGTTTTTGTTTTTTCCTATCCTGAGGCATGATAGAGAGAAATTGGTTTGTACACAGAGATTCTAAAGTGCTCATTGGGGGAAAAGTGACAACTATTTTAATATAAATGTTGATTACAAATTCAAATCTGTCACACGGCATCATCCAATTTTCTGGACACCTGAGTAAGAGCCATTTATGAAATGGTTCATTTTGAAAATGCAGGCACCATTTGTCAAAACGATTTTTTTTGTTTTTTAATAAAAATATGTCCATCAAACTGCAACGTGTCTCCATTTTGCACACGTAGAGGTCAGTGGAGGGGATGATGTCCTTCGCATGACACCACCACCCTTACTACCTCTGTTCCTCTTGTTTCACCCCCATCGACCCCTTGACTCATAGGCTTTGTGAAGTTCCCCTCTGGGCTGTAGAGTTACTGTTGTCATTTCCACATCACGTAATTCTTTACGCAGGTATAATGCTCAAGAAGACCCGACGTATTGGGTTCAATTGTTGTTTAAGGCTGACTTCTATCCGTATATTCAGCCATCGCTGCAGTCTCCATGTGTCCGGTAAATCTGGTTTCCAATAAGAGTTTGAAGCCCAGTTCTCATTTTCCCTCCGTTTGATCAAAACCAGTTGTTTGATCATGGGCTCTTGTGGTCTCCTGGTAAGGGAAGCAGTCGTTCATTGTGGCAATTAGACCTGCAGCCATTTCCTCCTCTGGATCACTGGTTCTCTTCCTTGTCTCTTGCTCTCTTGGTTGACAACTTACAAAGTTTTCAGACCCGAGTAAGGAGAAGAGTAGCATCTCTTAACATACTGTTAAAATTGATGGACGGGTCCACTATACCATCACCACAAACTCTGGAATCAAAACGAGTTCCATGAAGTGTTTGTTTGTAGATAAGTGATGATCATAACTACAACCTTTCCTTTTTGCTGCTATTATTGTTGCAAAACATGTACCAATTTTATCTACTATTTACACCCACTCCCCTTTTAAATGTTTCTAGTGGACAACTAAGAAAAATGATGTGGAGGCCACATGACCTCTTCTGGCTTCCTTAGGAGGAGAATCCAACTCTACACGAACTCAAGGCCGATTGTCACAAGGCAGAGGTCAGGCATGCCTCCACCTCCTGTGCTTCTGTACCTAGCTGACACCATCTCTTCTTCCCACGGCACCTGACTTCTTTGCTGGGTTCAATAATCCTTTGAAATGGCCCTGCAGAACTCAGAGAAAATACTCAGGATTATGGTGTTTTGTGAGGGAAGGCAGCAGGTTGCCACAAGGGCGGCTCAGGAAACATCATGGATTCAGTCTTTTGCCCACGGCAGAGCCTCTTCTCAGGTAGCAGTAATGTCTCCTGATGGTCTTCAATTCTCAGCCGTGTTAACTGGACCAGGAAACTCTTTTCTCTGCCTCACAGCCTTGGTGATGTTCCTCTGCTTTGTCTTATCATCTCAGTGTGGCTCTTCTGCTTTATACCATGACCTTGGTGTTATGGCCTCCAGTGCCTCTGCTGCCTCCATCACTTCAACCAGGGATCTTCCACATGCTCTGCTGGTGGCTCTTCCTTATTGATGGTCATGGGGTTCTTTCTCTCTGATTGTGAGATGATCCCCTTATGCCCAGTGCATGGAAGAATGGACCAATCCCCCCTGGTAGTGCTACACATTATTCGTGTGGTCCCACTCAATCATTTGGTGAGAGTCACAAGGGCATGGATAGAAAAGCCACATGTAAGTCATTCCATGCCATTACAACTGCTTAGTGTTATCAGTTTTTGCAATAATGAAATTGTGTATTACATTTATTCTATGCCCCTTTTCCCATCACCATAAACAGACATTCAGCATTTCTCATAAAACGATTCTCTCTACCCACTTCCACCACTAGTAACCACTGATGTCATTTAATATAAGAACATATAATATTTCTTCATCTCATGCTGGACTTATTTCACTCAATCTAATATCTTCAAGCTCCATTTGTGTTGTAGCATGTGTCATAACTTCATAGTTTAAAGACAGTCATATTCCATTATATGAATATACTACATTTTGTTTATTTTTCAGCTAAGGGACATTTATCCACCACCACCACCCCCATCTTCTTGATAATGTAAATAGAGCTACAATGAACATTGGGGTGGATATGTTTGCCCGTGTCCCTAATTTTAGGTTCCTAGGATTGCTGGATCATTTTTGTAGCTCTTTTTACAATTATTTTGAGGACTCATCAATCTGTTTTCCACAAGGGTTAAACAGTAATATAGTCTCACCAGTGATGAATCAGGGTTCCTATATCCTTGCCAAGATTTGTTGTTTTCTGGTGGTGTTTTTGTCTTGTTTGCTTGTTTCTTTGTGAAATCTCACTGTCATTTTTATTTGGTGGCTAAAGAAAGGTTTCCTGGTATGCATTGGACTGCCAACCACAAGTCAGCAGTTCAAACCCACTAGCCATCCCATGGGATAAAAGTGAGGCTATGTGCTCTGGTAAAGATGGATAGCTGGTAAAAGCCTAGATCGGGTCACAATAATTGAAATCTATTCCATGGCAGTGGCTAATGCTAGTGATGGGCCCATGGTGTGTCGTGGTTCAGTACTCATCTGCTAACCAGGTCAGTAGTTTGAGCCTCCGAGCTGCTCTGCTGTAAAGCAAGTGTGTCAGCTGCTTCCCCAAATCATCCTACATGGAAAGCTTAGAGGGCAGTTCCAATCTTCCCTATAAGGTAGCTGTGATCTCAATGGGTTTGATTTGGTTCGGCTTGATGAAGGCTGGTGATAATTAGCATCTTTTTGTGTGTTAGTTGGCCTTTGACTCTCTTCATTGGAGAAGTGTCAGTTCAAGTCATTTGCCTATGTTTTTAATGTGTGTTGTCTTTTCATTGTTATCGTTGTCAGTGAGTTCCCTGAGTTTCAAGTAGGTGTGAAACTTCATTTGGTACTATTGCGAAAACGGTGAGAGCCAGAGTTCAATGGTCCTGCCTTGTCTTTCCTGATCTCACAAGTCGCCTGCCTTTGACGAGTGTGCTCCACTTTTCTATTCCTCTCCATTAGTAGAAATGTGTGACTCCTTCTCTGACAAGGTGTACCTTACACAGGTTCCAGCTGTTTCAGCTTTTCCTGTATAGGTTCAAAGAGGTCAGTGTTATCAAATTGTGTTCATACTAAGGTATTATATTGAGGATGGCCGATAGATCACTTGGTTAAAAATAAAAACAAAGCATACGTCTATGATAAGAATACTTAACATTTATTTATCGCTTCTATAATATGTGTTAAATGCTTTAGTACAATAACCTGGGTAATTCTTAAAATACATTTCTTAGAATCCCATTTTATAAGTATCTGGTGTTACCATAATATTATATCTGAGCTCCATAAGTACCCCTCTCCTATATTCTACTTTATAAGGCTGGGATAAAGGAGATCTGGTGGCTTATAGCTTGGGCTGCTAACTACAAGGTCAGCAGTTCAAACCCAACAGCCACTCTTAGAAATAGAGATGAGGGTTTCTGTTCCCATAACAGTTTACAGTCTCAGAAAGGCCCAGGGCAGTTCTACTCTGTCCTGTCAGTCTCTATCAGTCTTAATCTACTTGATAGCAGTGAGTTTTGCGGGTTCTAATGCTAGGGTATGAACTCTGCTGACTTCGTTCCTCGTGACCAAGTGACATCTGGCTACAGCCACCAGGAGGGGACTCTAGAAGGAGACTAGCAGCCAAGAGGAGGGAAGGTGTGTATGCATTGCCTTCAGCGGCAAGTCATCTTGGCAGCTCATTTGGCAGAAGCACATGGTTCCAGCCTTCAGCCTTTCGGCTCTGCCAGAACCAGCTTCATTTGCCCCCATAGACGTCGTTACTTCAGTGTGACTTTCCCTTTTGTGCAGAATCAGAGCCTTGGCTCAGTGCAGCTTGTCTCCAATCCTCTGAACTTCTGAATCCTGATGACCACCTTCCTTCCCTTGGTCCACCCAGCTTCAAGGCGGCAGCTTCTTCCTGCAATTGCTATATTACCTCGATGCTCCTTTGTCGTCCATGCAGCCCTCCAGCCCCAGAAAAACCAGCTCTGTCTAGTTCGTTCCGGGATTGAAGGACTTAGTGTGGATTCTCCTTTATGAACCTTCTGGTAGAGGGTTGGTATTATTACCCACACCTTTCAGATAACAAGTCTAAAGCTTAGAGAAGGACACTATCGACCTCAATGTCACACAACTAGTAAGTTAAAGAGGCAAGGCTGACTCACAGGTGAATGTGGGCTCCTCCTTGTAAATTCCTAAATGGAAACTTGTGGAATTGTCAGACCGATGTCTTAGAGTGGTAGGAAATGTGGATGTCGGCTTGAATCAAGTAAACATTCCTCTAGACCACAGTTGTATTGGCATTGTTTTCCCTAAGTCTTCTCCCAGAATCTATTTCATCATGTTTTGCAAATGGTCTTAATCCCAGACTTGCTTAGAATGTTGAACCTTACAATAGACGTGCTGCCGAAAGACTTCTTTGGACTGGAGGTGTGATGTGCGGAGGTGAGATGTCATTCTGGGAGTCACCCAGCATAGAAAGAAAAATCACGAAAGCATCAAACCAAATCTTCCCTCAAGAAGCTTGTGGTCCAGGCAGGAGGAGTGAGGCTGTATTTCTGTGGAAAGAGCTTTCACAAGACTCAGCTGTAAATTCTCGAGTGCCACACTTAGAAGTGGAGAGAAACCATGGCCACAGGGCCAGGGGAGTTTCCCGGGAAAAGAACAGAGTGGTGCGGCAGAGTTGCTGAAGCAGCAAGCTGGGCCTGCAGCACTTTTAACAGGCTCTCAGCTGAAGGGAAGCAGTAACAGCCTAGGGAGCATGCAAGAGGAGTTCTCAGTTTCTAAAGCGCTACAATGTGCCAGACCCCATGCGTCTGCTTACACTCAGTCTTATGACTTATATAATTGCCACTGTCCATCAGAGCCAGG